ATGTATGTATGTATGTATGTATGTATTCTCAACGGAATGACACATGATCTGAAAAGGGAAAACATTACACCTGAGCAGAGGAGGTCTATTGCTGAATGATATGTTTTAACCATTGATTATTTGATATTACAGTTGCTGTCTCAAGGAAATGTCTTTGCCACTGACTCAATCATGGCTACCCTGATGACCTGCACACGTTCCAACTACTCCTGGGATATCGTAGTCCAGGTAGGTCATAATCCTTTCTGCTCCTTTACGAAAACTTAATACTTCAGTTTTGAGTTCTCTGTCACTCAGGGTTAGCCTCAATTTTGTGCACAATAATTATGTGTTCCAATGAAGGTCCGCAAACATTCAAAGTGTTCATATTGTTGAGGTTGTCTATTCTTTACTTTACCATTGGTATTTGTGAATATTTAGACACTGATTTAAGGCTAATCCTGAGTAAACAAGTCTGCAATGGTACAAAGGAACACAATGGTATTTGGAACTCGAATATGGTGTATTTAGGCTAGTAATTAGATTTGTGCTCAACCATCTAAACTAACCTAAAGGTAGTTAACCTGGAAACATGGACATTTATGTTAAAAAATAAAATTGCCTTGTTTTCAGTGTTAAGTTTTCTATTATTGTGTAGCCCCAAAAATTATCCATACCCCCCATGGAGAAAATTTTTTAAGACACCCCCCTACCCCCAGGAAATTCCAATTTTCTTCCATACAAACTCTGTAATTTTTGTTCTTTCTCTGACCTCCCTACTCTTCAGAAATTCCAAATTCCTTTGTGGGGCGGGTATGGATGATTTCTGGAACTACACATTATTATTATCCTCATCATCATCATCATCATCATCATCAATTAATTAGTATAGGTAATAGGACTACATGCTGTCCAATTTGGAAATAATTGGATGAAAAATATTCCGAGGACTGACAAAATTGGAAGAGGCTGATAGGCTGAGTCCCATTTGGCAGTCAGAGGAATTTTTTGAATTAAATTATTTCCAAATTGGACAGACATGTAGTCCTATTGCAGATTAATTATATCATCCCAAACTATACTAGACTGATTCCATAAGTCATAGTTTTTCCTTGAAAGAATGCGAATGGAAACGATCCAAATTAATCTTTAATTTGGACAGGGAAGAGAACTTGAAAATAATACAATAGTTGCTTATATGGGATTATAGAGTGATGATACAATTTATTTATTTATTTATTTGCCTTTAATTACAGCGTGTTGGATCAAAGTTGTTTTTTGACAAAAGAGATGATTCTGAATTTGGTAAGTTTCCAAAAAACTCAAATGTTATAGTTAGGTCATTTTCCTGATATTCTCTTTTGACTGACATCTATTTTAGACCTTCTGTCTGTCTGTGAGACCGCTAATGACCTCCAAATTGACGAAAACAGTGGAATCAACACTCCAACAAACCTGTCCCTGGAAGCAACTTTTATCAACCAAAACTTTTCTCAACAAGTTCTCAAGAAAGGACAGCAGTTAAACTATGACCATCCCAACCCATTTGCCATTGATGAGGACGCCAAAAGAGTTGCCTCTGTAGCTTACAGGTAATTATGATGGGATTAATAATAAAATACTTATATTAATTACATGTGTTTACGTTTATAATTTTATGAGAAGTCACTCAAGTAGCAAGAAACAACAATTTTGGGCAAGGAGAACAGATGGCACCTAAGGAAGTGAGAGAAGGCTTACCATGTTGCCAAGAGAAAGAAATTTTTTTAAATAGAGACAGTAGTAGAATTCTACCATCAAACTATTTAAGTTTGCAAGGCGACTGATTGTCCACGGGTGCTTTTTATAGGATCATAATTGATGTAATTGCTCATTATGGCAAAGTTTATCTCATACGGTTGTATCGAGTTTTATATGTTACCCTGAAGATGAGTGTGTAGGTTGAAAGCTCGGTAAAATAAAGAAATCATTTAAAAGTTGATGTAACAAATCTAACCAAATGAGATTTGCAAGTTGTTTAATAAAGTATTATTATTATTATTCAGTTTCGCAGACAACAGATGGGGCTTAGTCTTAACTTATTGCATTGTATTTAATTGTATTTAATGCACCATTTTCCATACATCTGTTCACTGGTTGAACATAAAGCTCTCAAGCGAGGCGCCAAGGTACTTTCAAAGGATTATTCAAATTTGAGCCTTGCAACCTCAACTGAATGCTTTGTGTTTGAGCAGTGAACCGATGTATGGAAAATGGTGAATGAACTCCAAATGGTTCCATTCACATTGTTTCTTTGTTTGTTTGGTCTTTTCTAAAGGTATCGTAAGTGGGATCTTGGAGATGGCAACACAGTTATTGTAAGATGTGAACATGATGCAGTGATGCATGGACCTAAGGGAGAAGAAGCATTGATAAACATCAAGACTTTGAATGAATTTGACTCAAAGGTAGAAAAACCATTCATATTCAGTATAGTATTTTTATAATTAATAATGAAATAATTTTGGATGCTCCAGTCCTCTGTTGCTCAGGGTTAGTCTCGATTGTGTGAAGAACATTCACCTGTTCCAGTGAAGGTCCATGGGATTTCAAAGTGTCTGTGAAGTTGAAGTTATGCATTATTTACTTTATCATTGGTATTTGTAAAATATTCTGATGCTGAAATGAGGCTAGCACAGAGTAAATGAATCTGTAATCAAGGAACACAGCTGTATTGTATGAATTTGAAATGGGTGTATTACATAATTACTCATCAGTTCGGCTTGTTATTTGTCTAGTGAGCAACAGCTCAGTGAGGACCCCTTTCCTTAAAAAAAATTTCAAGAAAATCTTCAATGAAATGTTTGAGGAATTCTATATTTTTCCATTGTCACATTAATAGAAATGGGATCTCTTCGTGGCTTATACTAAGAGTGTGAATCTAAGGCTTTTGCTCTGCAGCAATAAATAGCATCTCATATATCTTAGTCGAATCCAACTAGTGGTCTATCATCAATGCTGTGTTCTGATTGGATGAGCTACTACTAGGCTATAAGTTATAGCCTACTAAGAGAACGTTATAGCCTACTAGTAGCAAAAAATGCCAGTTTTGAAAACCAACACATTAAATTTAATTTTAATTCAAAACTTGTTTGCATCTATACATTTGACCCACCAGTTGGATTTGAATAAAACAATTAGTCCTCTCCCTCATGGCCTATGAGTCAATAGCCTAATGGTTTTATATATTTACAGGTTACAGGCGTGGACTGGCGTCAAAAACTTGACTCTCAGCGTGGTGCTGTTTTGGCAACAGAACTGAAGAATAACAGCTGTAAACTAGCAAAGTGGACTGTCTCTTCTATCCTTGCTGGTTCAGATTACCTTAAGATTGGGTAAGTGTGGTTGCTTGCTAAAAGAAGAGTGTTTGTTACTTCTTCAATTATAATTTGAGCCCTGAAACAATCTCTGGGCTGATCAAAGCCAGGGCACAGCTTACTCACTGATAGAACCCTGAGACAACCTCTGGGCTGATCTAAGTCAGGGCATGGCTAACTCAAAGATCGAACCCTGAGACAACCTCTGGGCTGATCTAAGTCAGAGCATGGCTAACTCAAAGATCGAACCCTGAGACAACCTCTGGGCTGATCTAAGTCAGGGCATAGCTAACTCACAGTCGAACCCTGAAACAACCTCTGGGCTGATCTAAGCCAGGGCATGGCTAACTCACAGATGGAACCCTGAAACAACCTCTGGGCGGATCTAAGTCAGGGCACAGCTTACTCACTGATTAAACCCTGTGACAAACTCTGTGCTGATCAAAGTTGCTTAAAATAGCAGTCGGTCCTTGGACAATGTCTCAACTTATCTAGTCAAATCTTTGCCCTATTGTTGAGCCAAAAATGGGATATGGCCAAGCTAAAACTAATTTTGGTGGGCATCATGACTGGTGACTGAGTTGCTGTTATTATGAGCCCTGTGACTATTATGCCCTTATAACAAATGCCTTTTCTAATCTTTTCAATTACAGTTATGTCTCTCGAGTGAATTTCCTTGACTCCTCCAAGCACGTTGTACTTGGAACCCAACAGTTTCGTCCCAAAGAGTTTTCCACTCAGATTGCTCTGAACATGGACAATGCCTGGGGAATATTTCGCTGTATCGTAGACATCTGCCTAAAGCTACCTGAGGGCAAATACCTTATTCTTAAAGATCCTAACAAGGTAATACCTATTTGTCATTTTCACATCTGATATATTACATACGTCTTCTTTTTATTTAAGATTCCTGTTTCTGGAATCTTTAGTCCGACTTAAGATTAAATTGCATAAGATTAAATCTAAAAATAAATCTAAAAACAAATTAAGTAAGTCAGATCAGGATTATTGATAACGTCTTTTTTTCATTTCGGACACCTCCCTTGTGAATTTCTGGATTGGCCCTTGTATACATTTCAGTTTTGAGGGTAATCAGGGGAATGTCAAAGGGTAATCAGAACGGTTAAACCTTATGCTTTGATACCAGATAAAACACTCCTGCTCGTTTATTAAACAGTACTTTAAACTTCTTCAAAATCAATTCTTTTACTGTTTTTTTTTTTTTCTTGTGTAAATTTTAAGCACTTCTTTATAAGTCATTATAAAATGACTGTTATAAATCTCGCATTCTGATTGGTTAGGAGTGCGTGCTTTATGAGAGCACAAGGCACGCGCGCGCACTTTCAGTTGCGTAATTCCTATCCAAAATAACGGTTATTTTATAATGTATTTTATAAAAGAAATAAAAAGCTTGTTTGCTGTGCTGTGTGCACTTGGGAATTGGCAGAACACTCGAGAAGTGTCCGCTACGCGTCGTGCTTCTCCTAACACTCTTCTCGTGTTCTGCCTATCCCTGCGTGCTTTATAACTGCACACAGCACGCGCGTGCGTTTTCTATTTCTTTAATACATTTTCTGTGACACTAAACCGCTTGATATTCTGAAGATGGTAAATTAACTGACTCAGAATGAGCTGATTATCAGTCAGAACTTTACTAATTAAAGCACGTATAAGGAACATCTGTTAACCAAGTGCTAAAGCAATTTGATAGTCTACTGTACATAACCAGAAAGCAGGTTTTTTTACATTTTAATTCAATAATCTTCAATTTATCTTTGTTTTAGGGCGTGGTTCGTATCTATGACATTCCAAATTCCACATTTGAATCAAGTGATGAAGAAGGAGATGATGAGGATGAGGATGATGATGAAAAAGGTGGGCTTTCAAATAAATCAAAATAGCACGAATATAATGAACTAGTAATCCTCAGGCACATACTAATGAAGGCTCAAAGTCGGCTTTCTGTTTGCAGCCTGGTTGTGGGTAATCATTCCTAAAGAAATAATAATCAATAATTAACAATTATTCGCCAAAGGCGAAGTGATTATAGGGGAATATTTACCGAGATGCGACTTTTTTTGGTTTTTTTTTTTCAAACTTAATTCACCTCTGGAAGAGGCACAAATTGGCAAACAAGCATGCGCTATATTCACCTGTAGGTACACCAATAGTGTATTGACTTATAGTCCATTTTTGGCTTCTGGTCTAATTCTTAACTAAGCAAAAAACAAAAACAAAAACAAAGAATTTTAAAAAGCAAAAAAAAAAAACTAATTCCCTTTCTTCACTTTCAGATATGGTGGAGGATTAAAGTGCTTTTCGTATCCATGGACATTCATGTGAATACCATAACCACAACAGATATTCAACATCACAAGTCATTCTGCCTGACAAATATGGGTCACAAATATTTTAAAAAGTCTGTATTTTTCCCTTCCCAATATAACTGTCTGTCCCCCACTGTTATTCACTTTATTTTTTACGCTTACCGTTTTCTGCTTATTTCTATATTTTTAACGGGTATATAAGAGTGACATAATGTTGTATCCAATACCTCTTCCCCTCGCATTACACAATTCCTTCTCCAATTCCAAGCTATTGAATATTTATTGTGCAAGGGGTTTTCAAGATGTCCATTAGTAATATCGAATGAATAAAATCTTTCAGTCACTGATAAAACGTTTTATAAGGTTTAATAGCCGCGGGGTTTAATTGCTTCGGGGATCTCTCTCTTACCTTTTCCTTCTTCTCGATGTGGAATCTTCTAAGCCTATTAAAACCGACTGGGTCTTTGATTTCGTGTCGAGACTTGCAGGCACGCCTTTCTGAGTCAACGCGCAGAAAAGAAGTCTAAAACTAATCATTCTCAAGTTTCCTTTACTAGTTTCCGGATGCGCGTTCGTTCCAAGCGAAGGGTAATCAGTTAAAAAACATTTTATCAGTAAATCGTATTTCGCTCACTGATAGTCAAAATTGAGAGACTATATTAATCGTGTCGTGTTAGAGTGCTCACACTAAATCCGTGAAACAAATACTAATTTTTAGCACTAAATAGTGATAATTAAACAATAGAAAACAAAGATTCTGTACGAAATAGTACTAATTAGTACTTCTATTTAATGTTCACGGTTTTAGTGCGTGCACTCTAATTTTTTTTTCGTTTCTTTTTGCATAAAATGTTAACTAACTGATAAAGCGTCCCTCCAAACAGTCCCATAATCTCAATGCAATATCTTGGGAAAATAACAAGATGCTGGTTCTTCTTTCCTGTACACGAAAACCCTCAGAAGTAGTCAAAGGAGGGATTTCGCTTCTCCCGGACCAACTACTCATTTCGCATTCGTAATTTTAATGATGAAAAATCCTATCCCTCTTCCAAAAAATATGGAAATCTTACTTTATTCCTATTTCGTTTTGGCTCCCTTGCGATCTGCTTTCAACAGCTAGCTGCCTTCAATCATGAAGCTCCTTGAGTTGTGATCCTATTAGAAGTATATGCCCTGACACGCTAGGCCTTGGAGTTGGATCAACTGCGTAAAGTGTATTCCTCTTCGAATCGTCTTTCATTCCCTAACACTCTTTGTGAGGCAAACATGGCTGTTATTACCCTTGTAGTCTTTTTTCTCTGTATCTTTTCACTCAAACCTGAGTTTATTTTGAGCGAGAAATACGAGGTTAATGCTCCAAAAGTAGAGCTAGCGTTGTACTACGAAAGCCTCTGCCCTGACTGTCAAGGGTTTATCTTGGAACAACTTTACCCGACGTACAAGAAAGTCCCTGAAATCTTCAACCTGACGCTCATCCCGTATGGGAATGCTTATGAGTCAGAAGAAGGTGGGCAGTGGAAGTTTGATTGTCAACATGGCAAGGAGGAATGTATTGGAAATATCATTGAAACATGTGCCATCTCTCTACTGAAGAATATCACTGTTTACTTCCCGTTTGTGCATTGTCTCGAAAAGAATATAGATGACAAGGACCCTCATGTTRTGGCTAAGCAGTGCGCAGAAGATCTTGGTATAGATTATTCTCCAATCGACGCTTGTCAAAGTGGGCCTCTTGGGAACCGACTGGAGCATGAGATGGCACTCAAGACTGATGCTCTTGAGCCAAAACATCAGTACGTTCCTTGGATTACTTTGAATGGAAAACACACAGAAAAGATGCAAGACAAAGCTCAGGATAACCTGCTGAGGCTATTGTGCGAGTACTACACAGGGACGAAACCGCCTGCCTGTCAAAGTCTGCATGTTGGGAGATGTTACAAGCATCCTTTCACTCGTTCTTAAGACATTTCTGAAAACCGTGCTTAGGGAGACGATTACTGAAGAATGATTCCAGGGATCGGAGGCGGAGCAGGAGAAAAAGTGTGTAAGTCAGCGATTTGTTTCTTTTAGGGTGCTTAGAGGCTAAAAATCGTCCTTTTTCTAAAGACTTTTGGTATCTTTAGGTGATTTTTTGAAAATTTCCGACGAGCATACTCGTAAACTGAATAATTTTTTATTGTGAGGGTTTCCATATATCAAAGTATGTGTTTGAATAGAAAACCAAAACGATCAAATTGTGTTAAAATAAAACATTCTCTCAAAATGTCTGTCCAGTATCGGAAGCCATGTCCCGATTCACCATTTTTATTACTTGGGATCCCTGTGGTAGCCCGTGGCGGGAAACCTTTGATCTTTAGTACTCCCCCCCCCCCCCAGATTTTGGCTGGATCCGCCCTTGAATACGGTGCTTAGTGCCATAAGTGTGATAAAGTGCGTTCGAAGCAGTGGCGTAGCGAAGTCTTGACCCGGCAGTGTACCATTTTCCCGCCAATACACGCGTACATGAACACGTTTCAGTTAGTATGCCAAAGACCAGATTCCTTGTAAAATCTTATGATCAAATTACTTAATAAAGCTTATGTAAGAAACAGAAAATATTGATTTGCATCATTGAGTACGATACATCCTTTCGAGGGGGGAGGGGGGGGGGTGGTAGATAGATAAACAGATGGATCGATGAAAATGGATTAATAAATTGATATATGGATCGGTGGGTGGGTCCATGATGGATGTATATAAATTATGTATATGCAGCCTCTTATAAGATTTTGTACTCACGGGCTGTAATGTACGTGGAGTAATTTGTGAAATGACCATTTGTCCGCTTTGTATCAAAAGCCAGGTGAGAGTACAATGGCATTGAAGCGACCGTGGAATGATGTTAAGACAAAGTGGCAAATATGTTGATGATATACGTTCAAAATTTAATATGAAACAATTCAACTCTATTTAGAAACTCAACATTTCTTTTTTGGGCAAAGCCTTACTTCATGTAAATACAAAAAAATAAAATAATAGTCAGTTATAAAGTCATATTATTTTACATCATCAGTGAATGTGGTTCAAAGTTTCGCGGCAGTCACGCTAGCCTAGCGTGAGTCACGCATTCTTGTAACAAGGAACGATGGGTTTGGTACCAACTTGCTGACAGGCAGAAGGTTTAGTTCCCAGATAGGTATCACATACCAACTTTAGTAAATTAAAGGTGGCCTCATTCTGTATTTCATCGGTGTGTTTTCCATTAAGTGTGATCCAGGGTACATACTGATGTCGAGGATACAGGGAGTTTGTCTTCTGTGCCATGGCGTGTTCGAGGGCGTTCCCTTCTGGTCCACTCTGACACTTGTTGATGGGATCAAAATCAATTCCCAGTTGGCTTGCACATTGTTCTGCTGCTGGTATAGGATTATTACCAATGCTCAACTCCAGGCAATGAATAAATGGAAAATACACAGAGGTATTCTTAAGAATCGATATAGCACAGGTTTCGATGAGATTCCCAACGCATTCCTCTGGTCCATGTTGACAGTCGTACTTCCATTGGTCTCCGTAGCGAGTTTCTTGTGCATTACCGTACGGCACTAAAGTAACATCCATGATTCCGCCGACCTTTTGATAAGTAGGGTAGAATTGATCTCTGATGAACTGTCTGCATCCACCACACATACTCTCATAGTACAGCGCTATGCCTACTTTAGAAGCAGCAACAGGAGATCCTAGAACAAGAGTAGGAACGGCTACCAAAAAACAAGCGAGTAGTAGAGCTCCCATGTTTAATGTTTAGGATTCGACTTCGAGGACCTCTAGTGAAGTAATAATGCTGCGAAGACGAGAAGGTAAGGTATATAAGGCTGAGAAACATGTGAAGACCTCGTGATTCCCAGCTGTTTTCACGCATGATGGTCTTACGTGAATCAGCCAAGTTACCATGGATACTTGATGGTCTTGTATCATGCGGTAAGAGACATGCCTGATGTGATGTGCACCGCGTGACAGCCTCGCGCTGTTTACAGCTTGTTTATGCTCTGACAATGAAATATTTACAATTGAACCAAGGCTTTCGAGAATGAATTATTCAAAGTTGCATTCAACCTCACATCGGTGGATATAGTACTGTAGATTCGTTTAGAGCGTTAACACTCCCATTTCGAGTTCGCCTTTGCTCAGTCTTAGCCTCGATTGTGTACAAATGTGTTCTTTTCTTTTATTAAGGTCCATTGTATAGTAAGGAATGTACGCACTACGGAACAATACGAGTTGATTGAAATGTCACGGGTTTTGGTTGAATGGTTGAATATATAACACACAACCGAGACTAAGGCTGAGCAAAACAGAACTCAAAAGGAGTGTTGTGACCAAAAATAATTTATTATCGGAAGGTAGGAACGTTGCATAATATGTTACATCGTTTTTGCTCGTAAGGTGTTTGTAACATACATTAAGTATCATATATGAGTGAAGCCTCGTAATGAAGTCTGAATTTCAAGATGTGAACGTGACTATTGACGTCATTTCCTGTCTCGTGCAAAACGCAGCTGAATCAGCATACGTGTCAGGACCACAATTTGGAGCAGAGAACGAGATTCAAATGACTTTAATTGAAAAATTTTAGACCTTGTGTAAATGCTGCTAAAAATTTTGATATTTTTCAAGCTTTCTAAACATTATTTAATATTTTGTACGGTCCAAAAAAAATTTTGCTTACACAATTCAATCTTAAAAGAATAAAAAATTAATAAATTAGGGCTAACAGCCTAAATATTTACCAAGATTGATTCGAAGAAATGCTTTGCGAACGTGTGACATAAAAAGGATGACGTTTGGAATAACAATATCAGTCCAAATGTTCATTTTGAAATGATTCCAAAAAAATCTATAAAAACCAAATTAACTCAATAAATAAAAATCCAAAATCATGCCGAAAATGACTGCAGACATCACATGATTATGCAAGTCGGATTCAAATTAGTCACCAAATCAAAGAAGGTTGGAAATTGTTCTGGGGAGTTTTGCATAAAACATTTTCAGCCCACAATCCCATGCGCTACTAGATCGTTACCAGTCTTCCTCTGACCTTTTGGATCGCAAATTTCCCCTCCACCGGCAAATAGAGGCTTTGTACCATCAACGTCTCTTCTGGGTTCATAACGAAAAGCAGTTCTAAAAAGCCTTTTTCTTATCTTTTTTTCCTTGTTATTTACAAAGAAATGTATGGAGCGATGTTTAGTGTTGAATGTATAACCGGCGTCACAGACATCTATAAACAATCGTAAGAATATAATACTTCCCATTGGAAGAAAAAAACTTTAACCAGTGATTATTAAACCCTTAAAGATTATTCCATTAAAGTTTCAGCCGCGAATTTGATTTCCGAAGATTTTCGTGCTAGTCCCTTTAACTAAACGTTTCGACCATGCCTATGGCCTTCATCGAATCTACTCAGATAAGACAAACTAATAAGTAATGGTTGATCTTGCCGAATAAATACTGAGAGAAGGCGGCAGACTAGTGTTAATGTTACCTATACATATTTGAATTGTTTGATAAACTGTTTAGATAATCGTCAGGTGTTACTATGTGCAACCCAAGAGTACAAATTAAGATTCATTTTGATAACAAAATATTTTAAAAACTATAATTTTTTTTGTAGCTTCACTAATTAAAACCGTGCTCGGAAAGTCTTGTAACCAGGTAACAACGGCCTCAAAACTGACCCCCACCCGAATATTCTCGTAAACTTTTCTTTTGGCACAAAAAAAATTCACTTCTCTGAAACGAGGTAACCAGGGCTACCCTGCCACCAGGGTCTTGGTCACTTTATTTTAGCGGTTTTGTGAGCATTTGGACCCGAAAATAAGTCGAAACTTTTAAATTTTTTAAAAAGCTCTAACTTCACTTCTGATCCTTTGCCAACAAGCTTCCCCAAAATGGAATAAAAAAATAAAAAATACGCAGACGGAGATTTCGGTACGATATTCAAATTTTATTTACATCAACAATTTTTGTACATAATTTATTTTTGAGTAATGGCTCAATTATTATTTTCGTTGAAGACTAGCTTGTTAATTGTAATTTTCGGAGTTTTTATGAATTTGAAAAAAAACTTAATTTAAAAATTATCGTAAGTAGTTGTACACAGGATTCCCAACTCAAGCCAACTCAGTTTGAGCACGGGTTGATTTGGATCCAATACTTTTTTAAAACTTGTAGTTCTCTGTCGTCTGTTGAGTTGATAAAGTTTTTTTTGTATTGTTCACGTGACTAACCACGTGATATTAACATCAAGTGACCTCCCTTTCCCTCCCTGCTCGAGGTAATTTTTTTTCCTTAGTCATATATCTTTTCTTGAGTTTTTATCCTACAACGATATCAAAAGCCCTTTTTACCTTTATACTGACCTTTCGAGCTACGTGCAATATTTACAAAAATAATTTTGATTTGTGCGTTGTATTTATCCATTAAGTAAATCATTGGTCGTCCGTCAAACTGTTCGTGACTCTTCCAATTTTATTTCTATCCCTGAGCAGCCATGATCATGTTTGCGACCTCAACAGCACTGTTGCTCTGCAGGAATGACACGTGATCGCCTTCAACCCATGTGATCGATACATTCCCTTCACAGATTTTACCGACTCCAAAGTCCTCTCCTAGTGATTTGCCCATTTCATCTGTGGTCTTGGCGCGAATAAGACTAACATTCCCATGATACTTTGCTGTCGATTTGTACTGTTCACCCATGCGCAGTAAGTCCAAGAAAAAGGTCAAGTACACCAATAGGTCTTGCTTGTTGATAGAGCTGTTCACCTTAGCGATGGCATCAACAGTGATAACCAGCTGTTCCTGAACAGTTGCCAACGACTGTATAGCCTTCATTAGTTTAATCTTGTCGACTTTCGCGTAGTGCCCTGCCATGATACACAGAGCTTCAGCTACTGCCTCTGGCTTCCAGGAATCCTCTTCTACCGTCAGTCGTTTGCGGTGCCACATGGTGTGAGCAGCCACGTACTCCTGTGAGCCATCCATCAGGACAAGACTCTCCACTTCTTTCGTCTTCTCTAACTGTATGGACATCTCCAAAGCTACGCATGCGCCAAAGGAGTACCCTGATAGGCGGTAGGGACCACGTGGTACAACCTCTCTGATCTTGTTGATGTAGAATGCAGCTAAATCTTGAATTGAATTTTTGGGTGCGTCCATTGAGTACTGCAGGCCAAACACAGGGCAGGTCAACGCGGCTGCCAATGTTTTGAGAGGTTCTACGGATCCATTTATGTTATGCACCACGAACAAAGGCTTGTGGCCGTTATTAATGTCATTCAGCTTAAGGAGAGTTTGCTTAGTGAAGTGTGGTATCACTTGGGTACCAATAACTTTGTTGATTTTTTCATTACCTTGCTTGACTTCTTGTTGGGGTTCGTTGTCTGTTTTAGAGGTACCTTCTTTAGCAAGATCGCGCAGGGAATTAACGGTCAGTAAGCGCACTTCTTTCATGGCCAGTTGAATATCGTAGTCTCGTTCCAGAGTCTGACGTACTTCTACGCCCATCAATGAATCAAGACCTGAAGTAAAATAAACCAAAGAAAACTTAATAATGCGATGCAGACTTGCATACAATTGTATATTAGCTCATGCATGTATTGATCTGGTAGATAAACAAATCGTGAAACAAACGGAATCCGTGCGAAAAAGAAAACTGCCTTTTGCTATTGGGATATTAATCATGACAGCATCAGTTACAGTATCGTTTTGCTGATGATGGAATTCTAATAATTTTGAAAAGGTTTCAAGGTTATGTTCGTACCCACTTATTAATAAAACTCATTCTTCCCCTATGCGCGCTGTGAAGGCGGAGATACGCAAAATGGATATACACAAATATAATGCAAGTATTTTTCAAAGAGGGAAACGAAAAGCATGCCTACAAACAATACGCTGACTAACCAACTAACTTACCGAGATCAGCCAGTGTTGTATCAGGGTTGATCGTCTCAACATCATTAACTCCCATAATCCTTGCTATAGCACTAACAAGATCACCACCAGAGCTCTTGCTTCCTTTGGACGTTTGTTTGGCAGCAAGGACGAAGCTTGACATCACTGGGTGAGCCTGCGACAAGAACCGGTCCAGCACCGACAGGCAGTTGCTCATGCGCTGAGGTAGTGTTCCGCCAATTACTGTTTCATTTGTGCCACCCATTGTCTCCTGAAACGATTAAACATCAATAAATAAATACAATCTGCTTATATCTTGCCAGGAATCAAGGGATTTTATAATTCCAGATATCTTAAGTAATTATTACTTGTTTACACCAAGATTATTGGACGTAGGAAGTTTCTAACTGAAAATCTCGTAATTTACATGTCATATGTGAGTAGAGTTCCTTATTGGTTCTCTCCTGTGTTTCGAGTTTCGGTTTTTTTTGGTGTCTCAGGCTTTACTCCCTCCACAAAAATCTACTACTAAATTCCAATTCGCTCTGTCGTCGAGTGCTTTAATCATCAAGCTTTGGCCCGGGTGACTGTGTGGTTACTCTCTGTATGTTAAATGTAAAAATAAATCACATTACGTTACATTAGTACTTTTAACTTTAACGTACCTGAATGAGACCCACGTCTCCAATTGCACCCCACTGAATCGCCAGCCCAGGAAGACCATCATGAGCACGTTTTTCACAGACGCGCTCCATACCAGAATTAGCAAAACCATAGTTGGCTTGGCCAGCGTTTCCCCGACCGCTCGAAACTGAAGAGAATACGACAAACCAGTGCAAGTCCTTGGCAATGCCTTCCTGGCGGGTAAGGTTGTCCAGGAAGATAGTACCATTGTACTTGGGCCTGCAGACTTCCTGGAATGTGGCTGGTGTTTGGTTCTCGAATAAGCCGTCTCTAAGTACAACTGCAAGATGGAATACTCCTCCCAGTGGACCGAGTGCTTGGGCTTCTTCAATGATGGCTGAAGCACCTTCTTTTGTTCCAACATCGTTGGTTGATATTTGTACTCGGACACCTTTTTCTTTCCATCCGTTAACGCGGCGAGCCTGATAACCAGTTCGGATACCTTATATAGGAAAAAATACGGTTCATTTACAGCTCTTAATTCAGGAATATATTTTCTAAGTGTTTTTCTATTAATCATAAGAAAAACGTAGTCAAAAACCTACCTCTTCGACTAGTGAGGACCAAGTTTCGCGCGCCTCTCTCGACTAACCAATGAGCGAGCTCTAAACCAAAGCCTCCCAGTCCACCAGTGATGACGTAGCTCTTCTTAGGATCACACATACTTCGAGCATGCGCAATAAGTTTGACTACTGAGCTGGATTCGTGTTCAGGTTTCACTTGAATGACGACTTTTCCGATGTGTTTGCCTTGAGCCATGAAGCGGAATGCTTCTTCGATTTCGTCGCGATCAAAAAGGGAAGTTTTGAGTGGACGAACCGCGCCTGAGAAAAAGATAGAATATACAAACATTCACTACGAATAGATAACCAACAAACACACACACAAAGAAAGAAAAAACTGAGAAAGTAGGAAAGCAAAGGAAGGAAGGAAAGAATAACAAATGAAAAAAAGAAAATATAAGGTATGAAAAAAGGAAGGAAGGAAGGAAAAAAAGGTTAAAAAAGTGAGAGAAAATGAAATAAAAATAATGTCAAATTTGGGTAGAAACATTTTTTTGAGGTTGTTTCAAGCGGAAAAAGAATCTCTACTCGTAAAAAACAACCTAAAATACCTGATGCAATTCCGGCAGTAACAAGATCAGACACCTCTTTCCATTCCGGATTATCCTCCTCGAAAATGGCATCCAGGAGAATACCATGGAAGGAGACGTTCTTGAGGAAGAGAGCCATACCAAGAGGGGTGTTGTTAGACAAGTCGTACTTGCCAATTTCCAGGAAGCGGCCATGACGGGCCAGGCAGCGTAGACTTGCTTGAAGTTTTTCTTCGGCGAGGGAGTTGAGGACCAGGTCAACACCACGGCCGTTTGTTCCATGCATTACCTAAAGAAGATAAAAAAGGGAATGAAGTTTTAGCTCTTATAAAGAGTTTGAGACACTAAGACTAGATTATCGAGCAATAACCGACCGACCGACCGACAGACGGACACTTACCATAGATTCGAACGACAAGTCTCGAGAATTTCCAATATTTTCTTCCTTAAGATTGGGGAACGTGGCCAACAAATACTCTCTCTTTTCCTTGCTGCCTACAGTAGTGTACACTTCACATCCCATGCTAAGACATATAGAGATAGCAGCCTGACCAACTCCTCCTGAACCAGAATGAATAAGCACCGACTGGCCTGGACGAAGATTCCCACGTACAATCAATGCGTAGTAAGCGGTGGAGTACACCACAGGTACTGTAGCTGCGTCCAACAGGCTCCAGGTGTCAGGTACCTCCCAGGTGAATCTTTGATCTGCCAAGACAGTTGTTGCCAGCGCTTGTGCTGGAAGCAACCCCATGATGCGTTTGCCGCTCTGGTTCCTCCCTGAGAATTCCATGCCAAGAATACAGTCTTGTTGAGCGAGGTCTCCTGGGAGCGCGTCAGGAGGAAGCTTTCCAGTTGCTAACATGATGTCACGGAAGTTCAACGAGGCATAGTTGACGGAGCAGAGCTCTCTGTCGCCTTCCTTGCCGGGCGCGTACTTCAGATGGGATGCAATCCATCGGAGGGAAGACAAGTCACCACGAGTCAAGACATTAACATAAGCATGCTCAGTCTCTTCGCTGGTCGTTCCTTCACCTCCCATGGGCAAGTGACGGTAACATCCAAGTTTTCCGTGGTTATATACATTCATTACTAAATCTAGCTTACGGAGTTCCTCAAACCTCTTCATTAGGTCCTCTCCGCTGCTTGAACCGTCAAAAAGGCAGCGAATTCTTTCCCCACAGGGCTCCTGACGAAGACAGTTTGTCATCCCGACGATTCCTGAATGCGAAGGACCACGAGCTCGTAGCCAGATTGTAGAACCATCGCCAGTGTTGAACTTACTGTGAAGATCAGGCACCCAGGCAAATGAATCGTCGATATCAATCACTACTGGTTCCTTATCAATGGTTTCTCGGAGGAGTCGATACAAAATAAGGCTGGAATTACCCAGGGTTTGCTTTATCGAAGCTAATCCAAAGCCTGCTACTTCCATCAAGCTTTGTAGTTTATTCCTTGCTTCAGGAGAAGATTCGTGAACAAGGAGAAATCCTTGAGGACACAGCATCGACTTTATATTACCTATGACTTGGGACATACTTTCAGCATTCTGAGAGAAATTTGAAGCTATGACCAAATCAACTTTTCCCATGCTTCCTGGTGGCTTGTTCACGGTGTTCCACACACACATCTCCACGCCTTTCTCGGTTGCAGATTCCTCAATCTTTGACAGAAGATCTTGGGTCTTGTCAGTCGCTGTGTAGTTCAGATGCATCAATGGATGAAGATTAACCAGTGGTACAACATGGGAATATACTTGACTTTCCACTGCGCTGAGTTCGCATATGCTAAGGTTCGTTGTATTGGTGTTTTCGATAACGACGTCCAACATAACCTTGAGCATTGGTCCATGGCCCAAGACATCGTGAAATTCAATGTCTTTGTCTGGAGTGGTTGTGGCGGACGTGTCGTCGATGTATGGGACGAAGGTGAACTCTTCGAGAACAGCTGTTTGACCATCCTGTCGTTTTGGGGCAACAGAAGCGTGAAGACCTTGAATGAAAATAAATGCAAGTATCAATATCCAGCCAATTTACTTTAGTGGATTTTGTGTGTTCGTAATTCACGTGATCTATTCCTACATTTGTACCGAAATTTCATTGTCAGATTTTGAGAAAGCCATTGTATTGGTTGGCATCAAGCAGCTGAATTAATCTAATTCACCCTTCTAACGCACTTTTTTCTGCAAAGAAATTGCCACCGTTTTCATGTATTTCACTTACAATTCTTTACAAAAATTTCAAAAAATCCACATCAAACAGGTCGGACGTCTGTTGAGGTTTGTTCTGACGTCTGTCTATACTAACAGTAGTATGTGACCTTCACATCAAGTCGTATCAAGCTTGCAATGACTTGTGAATGTATACACTCTTAGTCTTAAGCACATGTTGGCAGTACGTATATCTTAGCCTACCTGTCATTTCCACTCCTCCTGCAACGACCATGTCCATCTTTGGATCAACTTTGACCTCGCAAGAGCCACTCTTGATCATATCCAGGTGTATGGACGGGTCAATCCTTAGAGATCGAATACGTGTTGGCAATCTAAGACCACGACCAGGTAACCTCAGGACAGACACTTGAAGCATGGTGTCCAGGAATGATATCCAGTGACCATTCCAAAGGAGCTCTCCTTTCGTTCCTGGAATCCAAGATATGAAAAATTAACTTCAAGATAAAGTCGTGGAATGGAAGTTCTCTTTTAATCCACCTCAGTTTGAATTTTTCATGTGACAAAGGTACTCAATTTAAATTACTAAGTACTGTGATACTATTAAGTAGACACCCTTTATTTTTTTAAACGGAGCGGACAGCTAATTGCACGTTCCCAGAGTTCTCCCATATTTAGCGTAAATAGAAGTGCCACTATATACATTTCTTACCTGTGCTGTTGGCTCCCTTAATGCCCTGGAAAGTCGGTCCATAATCATATCCACGCAATCTTAATTCTTTATATATACACTCTGACGTCAAGTGGACTTCTTCAACCAAGTGTGGCGCTTCCTTGAAGTTCTTACTTAACACGGGTAGGTCAGGGATGTGAATCTTTCCAGTGACAGACAAGTTGTCTCCTTCAGAGACATCGAACTTGTTAGAGGCGGGCATCAGATGGACAGTGAGAGTGACAGTGCCTGTTTTAGGAAGGATCGTGGCACGATGAATGTGGACGTCCTCGAATGTAACAGGCATGTGCTCTGGAAGAAGACCAACGCTCTTGGCTAGTGCTCGCCATGCTAGGACTAGATAGCCTGTGGCAGGGAATAGGATCCTACCATCTATGCAATGACCTTCCAGGTAGTTGTCTTTTGAGGAAGACGACAAGTCGATGACGAACTGACAGGAGTTCGTACCTCCGCCTCCACTGCTCGAGGTAAATTGCTCTGACGATGGGACGTCCCATTCTTGAGAATGGTCCCATCCCACGTGGGGCGCGATAGAAGCTGTGGAAAGAGGAACCGGTAGGTGCCTTTCACAGGTCAAAGAAGTAGGGTTAATATTTATACCCTGCATGTAAATCTTCCCAAGGTTGGAAAGAAAGAACTCGACGTTATCCTTGTGGTTTCGCTTCATCAGTGGAATACTCAAGGCGTCGTTGCTAAGGGATCTTTTTAGTATGGCTTGCAGCAGACAGTGAGGTGCTATTTCTATCACAATAGCATTGTCTGGGATTTTCTTCAGAGCTTCTTGAAACAGAACAGGACTAACTAGATTATTCACGTGATATTCAGCGGACGAGTACTGCGAAAGCTCACTGCTCCATTTTTCTTCTGGTATAGACGTACTAAGCCATCTTGAAGACCTCTTCTTCGGGACGATGAATTTTTCAAGGCAAGCTTTCAATATTGGTGCAATGGAAGCCATGTAGTTAGAATGGAAGGCAACGCCGGACGTGTTGACTTCCTTGGCAAAGATTCCCTCGTCCTTCAGTTCTTGCACGAACTTGGCCATGATGTTGGCTTCACCTGAGATGGTGACCGTGTCTTCAGCGTTATGGCACGCAGGGACCACCCCTGGGGGACATCTATGCTTCACCTCCTCCCATGTGAGACCTACGGCAGCCATAGCACCTGGTGGAAGGTTGGCTTCTGATACACATCGACCTGGATGCAAAGAACAACAGAAACAAATTATACCATCTGCACATCGTGATTGGTACTAGCTAACTGGCTTGCATAGCCACACACGGATTTTGCAATTGGCTAGGAAATACAAAAATTGCCGTTGTCATAGTTTTATAGAGTACGTGATGAAATCGCGTTATATCTCTGCTCGTGAATGGATCAGTCGGCAATAAACCAGCGCGCTGGTATGCGATTGATTCTTGTGCTGTAACAGTTTTCTACACTTGAGCTCATTTTAATCTTTTATATACAACACAAATTTTGACATCTGATGATTTTAAGCACGCCGTACCTTTTAATAAGATATGCTATGATTGCTCAGAGCTCAGAAATAATAAAAAAAGATTTAATATTTAGTAGACTTTTGCAAAGTAGTCCGCTGCCTTCTGTGTATCTATACTGGCGCGCGGCGGAGTCGACGACTTCGTCAGTCTCTCGCTCGCTGGACTCGAATAAAAAAATACTCTTGCGGGAAACAAAAAAAGGTCGACTTGGGACAGTCGAAATATTTACCTCTCCAGTAGGCAGCTTTTAGAACTTCTTCTGCCGTAAAACTCCCATCAGCGTAAGCACAACCAAGTTCTCCCACACTGTGACCAATGATACCATCTGGCTCAAGACCTGACGACGGAACAACAAGACGTAAAAATAGGCCGATTAACATTTGGGGTCTTAGGCTGTCAAGATCTCCCTGGTGCCTAGATATGGGAGCAACAATCGTAATCTTTCTATTAGGTTAAGTATCCCTTTTGGCCCTCTTCAACTGGGAATACCTTCTTTACCCTTCGATTGCACGTTACGTCATCGCGGCATCTCGTGGGAGCGTTGGTGTCATTTAACAATAAATTTCTCATATAGTTTCCATTGTTAACGGCACCAAAATGGCCGCCATGCATTTCTTAGTCTTTTGACTCTCTTGGGAATGCTAGTTGCAACCCATCAATTTGTGCCTCCTTACCCTAGGGCTCCTCATCTCTCAACAGAAATAGCAGATGTCATTACTAGGATATATCAATTCCCTCTTACCTAAAGCCTTGAGGCAGTCGATCAAAGCTATTTGAATAGCAGCAAGACCAACAAACGAGTTGATGGTGTTCTCGTACATATCCTCGTTGGTATCCTCAATCATCTTCTCCAGATCAAACCCATATTCTTTAAGATACTTGGACGAACTACACACCGATTGCTTGAACAAAGGTATCTTCATCATCTTTTGTCCCATTCCTTTCCATTGTGTTCCCATCCCTGAGCACACAAACCACACGGGTCGTCCACCATTCTTGACTTTAGCCACCTCCTGTACCTTGCCTTCACATCCAACAACTGTGTACCCACGATATAGGAACGAGTTGGTAGAAGTAGCAGATATTTCCCCGAGAAGAGACAATAACCCTTCGTTATCCTGGTTCTTATTGGCTAATTCAATAAGTTTATTGACAGCTTCTTCGTTGCGGCCAGAAATTGGGACACAGACTTGGTGTTTGTCTTGGAGCGGCTTGCTTTGTGGGATATTAGGAGATCTGAGTATCACGTGGACGTTGGAACCACCAAAACCAAAGGAGTTGATTCCAACAAGGCCTCCCTCCCATTCAGTTGGCTCCGTGACCACCTGTGTAACAAACAAACAAACAAATTCAAACAAATAAGTATTTTTCGGTCTTGAGTGTAATGCGTGACAATCGAAGCGTGACTGGTGTTCACATATTTCCATATCTAAGATAAGATGCAAACTGGCGACTGTAATAACCTTATCATGCGGCGGGGACGCATTTTCCCTCTTCAAACGCTCCTCGAAATCTTAATCTTATAAATTTTAATCTTGTTTCTTTTATTTATACAACAATTGTGAAATATTGCTACCAAACTGTTGTAAAGTAGAAAAATGCATGAAAAATTTCACTTCCCGAAGGAAAACCAATCTATTGATTTGTCCCACTGCAAAACGTTCTTTTGAGAATAGATCTGGATTCGTACCTTGAGCCTTCCATCAATCAAGGCAGGGATGTCAGGATTTGGCTTCTTGTAATGCAGATTAGGAGGCAGAACACCATGTTGCATAGCAAGAAGGACCTTTGTGACCCCAGCCAGGCCAGAGGCAGGTTCTGGGTGACCCATATTGGACTTGACCGATCCGATCAATAAAGGGGAGTCCGCGGGACGGCCTTTACAAAACACGTCTGTGATTGCATTGGCTTCTTCGGGATCTCCTGCCTTTGTTCCTGTGCCGTGTGCCTCGACATATGCAACATCTGCGGGGTTGATCTTGGCTTCTGAGTATACCTGTTGTAGGAGCTCCTTCTGGATGGCTCCACTTGGGTAGGTAACACCTGCAATAGTGTATAGAAACGTTGATTTAGAAGTAAAATATACAGATAATATATAGATGTCAACATGAGATAATGAACTCCTGTGTCCACTGTCCCCTCCCTCCTTAGAAAACAGCTCCCTCTAAAAAAAAGCAAGTATTGTCAAGCTAAGCATCCGTGTGCATCGAAGTATAGCACATCCGCTTTCGAAAATGAGAGCTACAAATGATAGATCGATCTATTTATAAATTGCACAGAATTTTGTACCATTCAATTTCAGACCACGTGTCAGTGTCGTCCATTTGAGTATTTGTGTTTTATATTCAAATTTAAAGTTGTAAAACATCCATTACACCCATACTCATCTGTACTGGTTTAGCTTTGGGCTATCGATTTTTTTTTAGATTTGGATGAGCGCGCTTCCAACCATAGAAATGTTTATTCAAAAAGAAAATGCGCTTTGGTTCCCATACTCAATCTTGTGGCCAAGTTTAAATTTTCTATAATTTTTTTCAGCGGCTTCGGCGATTTTTCATGTTTCTGCTACTTCACGAAATTCTTAATTTATCTCGGGTATCTAGAGGTCAATAAAATAGTGCGATAGTTAGATGATGTTGAGACCTTGCTAGTCAAATGGACTAAAGCCAAAACCCCCTAGGCAGAACGTACGCGCACTGCTAAACATCAGACGCGCTAACACCGGGAGGCATAACGGAAAACTGAAACAATTGATCACCAATTGAAAAGAAAAATTAAAGAATTCGAATGTCATATTATTTTCTTCTTCGAAAAATTTTCTGTAGCAAAATCACGAGCGTCTTGATTGGATTACACGGAGCCGGAAATACGTCACCATGCGCGCTATCCCCATAGTCTATCTCAAGAGATCGTCCTGTATCCTTGGTGAAAGTAGTTTGGAGAAATAACGATAAAAATCGGAGGTGATGGGCGAAAGGAATTATCTTTTATTATTCGACGTGATACTAGTGACAATGACGCACGTACATGAAAGAGTCTTGAATCTCCCACTGGTTTTAGTGAATACACTCGCCAAACAGTCCAGAAATAGAGTGATAATTTGTACACGTATCAAGGAAATTTCGTTCTACAATTACGATTAAGTAAACGAGAGCAAGGAAGAAATGGAAGAAATAACAGCACTGTATGACCGATATAAACGTTCTGTGTGATATTTAATACAGGCTAAAAGACCTTGCGAGCTTATGAGTGTAAAAAGAATCGTTTGCCAAGATCAAAAATACCAACGTAAAATATAAACACATAAAAGAAAACCTTATGTAAAATAGATAAAATGTGTATCATAGAGAACGAGAAATGCAAGAAAGAAGGAAAGAAAGAAAGAATTAAAGAAAAATGAGGAAGAAAGAAAGAAAAAGTATAAGCAAAAAAAATGAAAGAAAGAACGAAAAAAAAGGAACGAAAAAAAAAGGAAAGAACGAAAAAAAGGAAGAATAAAAAGACGTGTAGTATTTGTATCTAAAGATGACAAACTAAACAATTAATACCCACCTTGATTCTTGTATCCATCAGAATTGTTCTTAGAATTAACCACATGAGCATAGATTCTCTTGGCAACAGGCCTCTTTACCAGGTATATTGCTACAGCACCTTCAGACCTACAATAACCATTACCACTCTCGTCAAAAGACTTACAGGCACCATCAGGTGAAAGCATGTTCAGTTTGAGGAAATCTAGCGAGGTGTTGGGCTTCAGAGTCAGGCTAACACCTCCAACTATGGCAGCATCACAAGCACCAGACTTAATTGCTTGTGCAGCACAGTCCAATGCCAATAGAGATGACGAACATGCTGTGTCTATGGCAAAACTAGGACCCTTGAAATCAAAGGCAAATGATACCCGATTAGCAAACATGGCTCGACAGCAACCAGTCATGCCATAACCAACAATTTCTTCTGTGTTGGAGCTGAATGCTTCGGCAGCTTCCGATGCACTTGTCCCAATGAAGACACCAGTTCTCGAGTTACGCACAGTTTGTGGGTCAACACCAGCGTCGACGAGGGATTCATATGTTAATTCCAGTAAAATACGCAGTTGTGGGTCCATTTTATGTGCTTGCTTTGCATGGACACCAAAGAAAGTAGCATCAAAATGTTTTAAGTCCTTTAGTTTTCCATGTCGTCTTGGTAATCCATGGAGTCCAGGTTTCCATCGTCGACCATCTTCGGTGACCATGTCCTCTTTATTCATCAAATGGGACCAAAATTCTTCAGCATTATCAGACTCTGGTAGACGACAGGCAAGACCTGATATGACAATATCTTCTGGATTATTGCTAACCATGGCTGTACTTGTTTGGGTTATCTGCTATTTGTGCTACTTGTACTAGATGTGCTCTGTAATTTGAAAAAAAAAAAACACAAGATTTTATTATCATTGCAGCCATGATTAAAAATGATTCACAATGTTCTTTTTCAATTTGGGTATCTGGAATAAAATTACTCAAGTTTGGTACACTAAGGTATCTTCTTACACATGTTTGGTAAAAAAAGAAATAATACTCAAGAGAATAACATGATTAGTAATTTCCAATATATCAATTATCCATACCCCTCTCCCTCCTCCCCACCCTGCCAGAGGAATTTGGAATTTCTGAGGGGTAGGGGGGTCAGAGGAAGAACAAAATTACAGAGTTTGTATGGATGAAATTTGAATTGGGTCTTTCAAAAAATTTCTCCATGGCAAGGGGGGGGGGGGAGGGTGGAATGGATAATTTTTGAAACTACATAAATTCTGAATCATAAAACATAATTAAGGAAGGATTTAATAAAGGTTTTTTACAGATCCACAGAAAGTCTGGCTTGAAGATAAAATTCTCATCAAAACAATTAACAAGCAAAATTTTATCAAGACAAGATTATTATTATCAACGACACAGTTGGTTTAGAATACACACCCACTATTCTCATTGTGTTCATTGTCAATACTAGCCATCATTATTCTTCTAGTTTATTGAACATAAACCACAGAAAAGATGGCTGGCTTTGATGGCAAAATCCAGTGCCTCCCATCGGAAAAAAGAAAAGAGAAAAGAAAAAAAAGAAAAGAAAAGAAAATAGAGCTTTTGCACACAACGACACACAAATGCATATAAAAAGGTGTTTGACAAAGGCTATGAATATAACAAGAGACATACATGAAGTCTCCAAAAACGTTTTTTTTAGTTGTGTTAATTAGTATGCCAAAAAGATACCTTGTTTTAGATAGGTTATTGACGTAAGAGATAAATCGATTTTAAAGTTGACTAAAAGCATCTTGACAAACCTAAAAAGCTATTTTAGAGAATATTCATAGGGAATCAAATTGTTGGTGTAAAAATAAAAGCAATTACATCAACCTTTAAATGCGATTCTAAATTAAGGCATATATATATTACTAAGAGAGTGGAAGTCGTTTGTAGCTGAGACATCTACTTAATCTTCACTTTGTGTACATTGTGATTTTGGCATTTTCGCTGAGAGCTAATGACATATCTAGTATGCACAGAACAATTAAAAAATTTATATTTTGTCGAAATTATGACGATAAAATTGATATAATGCTAGAATGATACCTGGAAATCTTGGAAATTCTAAAACTTAATGATTTTGCACTCATGCGGCGAATATTAAACTACAAAGGAATCGATTGACCTAAGGCATAATGTTAAGTCGAAAGTTTTTAGTATTGCAGATATTATGTAAAAACCAGTTAGATTTCAAAACATGTTATCTATTTAAGAGATCCAATCTCTTGAAATTAAAAAAGTATACGAAAGTCTAAAGTTTTACAGTAGAAGGGTTTCTAGAAGGTTTCTATTTATAGTAACAGATTGTACAAGAAAACAACATGGTATACAGCGTTTAATTATGCAAGATACATACGGTTCTTTTTCGATTGCTTTGCTTATCTTGCAGAGGAACTTGACCACTTTTTCCTTGAAGAGTAGCTAGAGTAATAAATAATAGCAGCTCACATACGAGTAAAACATCTGCTAGGAACTTCTTGGTTCGAGTCGAATCAGGTACTAGCCCTGCACGGCTCGTGCGACTAGATTTACGACGTTTCATAGTTTGCAAACCCGCAAATTAAATCCAAATACCACAAAAAATTGACGATTCCAAAATATCTTTTTTTCGTTGTTCAGTGGAAATTCATCCCATTTTCCCCTCAGTACATCAATAAGCTATCCATGTAATCTTGAACTTCGCGATAAGCTTTYCTGACAAGTTGCTTTACTTTGGCTTCTTCACTTCTTTCCAGTCTCGCGTTTAAGAGAAAAAAAGAAAGATTTAACTTTTTATATTTCGAAAGTGTTTAAAAGGTTTACTTAAAACCGAATCGAGAAAACGAAGACAATGCTTTTTAGTACTGGTTGCTTTGCAGTAGGTTCTTATCAAATGTATCTTTTGTCGACGGAAATAAAGAGACCCCATTGACGTCATCGTAAACAAGAGGATTGACAAATAGCGCCATCAAAGCATGTAGAAGTTCCCTAAGACAAAAACCGCACTAATATTTTATTACCTCGGGTCAAAAACAATATCGCAACTCTAAAAATATAAATTCCTTTTAGCTGTTGCTAAATTGATTTATCTATTGAGCTAAAAGAGAATGATATAGCTGCTTAATAGTTTGTTCACGAGCCAAGCACGTGTATCCGACCAATGGCCTGACTTTTGCAACGTGACAGGTTGTGACAGATGGATAGCCAATCAGAAGGATGGTTATAGAGTATTTCGTAAGATCAGAGCAAGAGTTGTGGACCAAGCCATTGAAAATACATATTAACCCTTACATGTACAGTTTTGTACCGAAATCAAATCAAAATTCTTTTTCCCAAGAAAAAAAGTTCCTTATCAATAGTATGCAATAATAAAAATGAAAAAAGAAAAAAAAAAAAGATTAAAAAAACCGACAGAAAAATGAGGTACGTATTTCATAATCAAAGACTTTGAGGGGTGGCCGTTCAAGTTAAAATAAGCTATAGATTTTAATGATTATCTAGAATTATCAAAACACCACTGACCTTTATTATGTTTTAGAAGAGAGCGAGATGCTTATTCTCGATTTACAAGTTAGAAAAACAATATTATACCAAATATTTATTTGGGCGAGCACATTCAAGTGCTCGGAGACAGTTGACAATGGCAAGCAACGAAAAAAAAGCTTGGCTATCTATACCCTGGTCCCCAGAGGCCCGACGATATTTCTCGAAGTATATTTTCGTCGAGCCTCTGGGACCAGGGTAGGCTATCTAAAAAAGTGAGTTATTAAGGATTTTCTTTTCACAATTCTTGGATCTCATTGCAGTTAGGATGAAAAAAATAGGGCAAACTGCGCCTAGAAAGCAAAAACTAGGATGAACCCATTTTGACAATCGAAGATCTAAGTACGTCCGCACAGAATAGCCAAAAGAAATAACTACTTTGTTTTTCTCAAGTAAATAAAGAAACTCTGCGATACAGGCTTAAAATGATAATAAAAGAACAGCTCATAATCGGGGTGAGTTAGAAATGATTTGTTGGAGCAGAGCTAGAGCTCAAAGTATTGTAGTATTGTTGACTCCGAGAAAACCCCTCCACATCTACAATGCCCGCTTTTCTGCAACAACAATATAGAAGTAAAAGTAGATCATACCTTTTCTCGTAGAGAGATGAAGGATATCAACACGTTTTGGTCAGAAACCTCTGTGGTAACAGATCATTTGGAAATGGCAAATATTTCAGTGAAATGACGAGTGGTTTGAACGCAAGGCTTAATTTATTGGAAACCCGAAGCCATGTGAGTAGTTTACAACTGATGACACACCTCCAGACACACCATTCCGTGGGGTGACAACCAACCAATCACGAGCGTGTATTTCACAAAGGACAGATGGGTGAGCACGTGCTCGTATAGGATTTACGATCCATCTGATCACGTGCGTATATGGTTTTCCCAGTCGTGATCAGGAGCTGTATGGGTTGTCGCAATAACTCAAGAATGTATAATTGTTTTGGCTGATTAATTCAAGCGATAATCTTAGGAAAAAGTCACGAGCTTAAAATCTAGACAATACACTGTAATTTTCGATGCGGGGATCAATCTACACAAGCTTTTTTTGTTTTTTAAACACATTTCTTATGGCCGCTCTTTGATGATCAAAAAGCCTAGCCTCGTATTCAGACGTTGCGATCTAACAACTTGATATAAACTGCTATAGTTTAAAATGTTTGTTCAATTGTTAATTAAAAGAATTGCATAAGAGATCGAGTTTTCCAGACAATAGAAACGAATCGCACGTACCAATAGCACTGATATTCAAATGCTCACGAACGAAAAATTTCAGCCACTACGAATAGGGTGGTTATAATTCTCAAAAATATGGGTGGGGCTGAAAAATTGGAGGTCAGTAGATGGCTTGTATGTTCCCTTAAAATTCGTTTTTTGTGCTGTTTTCGTAAAATATATTAGGTTAGGCAGGTGCTACGTGCGAGCATTGTTACTGTTAACAAATCCTTGCCCTTCCAGGGAGGGCTTGACCCCCTCTTCATTGATGATTGATTTCTGGAAAAGCTATGAAAATTTCAGTGCTCTTGCAGTTCTTTCATGAAAATTTTTTTATAATTTATAAGTAATTCGATAAACATTTCTCACTAGGTTTTCTTATTTGGGATTTTGTGAAGGTCTGATGCTACTAATTCAGTGTCTTGCTTTTCATGTCCATCAATAAGTTTAATCATTAAAATCCAGGTTATGTTTGCAAAGACATTTTTCCAGACAATACTTATCTAAGATTATATATCAGATTTCTTTATTTCTTGTTGGCTGTCCAGAAATTTCTAAAATGTTCTTCTTTTCTGGCCATTTAACATTTTTTAGGACATATCTATTAGTTTTTCTTTTACTTTTGAAATGATAAAGCATGATCCCAATACTTACAAATGACAAATGTCTGTATGATTATAGGTCTGTGACAAGCTGGTACTCCTCCCTCGCCCCTAAATGTGACTGACTATAAGCTACTGTTGTTCAAACTATTTTTTTCAATCTGGACTGTAACCTGCAAGTACAATGTATTTCTGGTATTAAAGACTGTTAGCCAAAACTATTCAATGACACTACTTGTTCTTACACGTAAGTCTGCGTGAAGCATTTTGTCTTGGGTGGCATCAGTGGGAGATCATTTCACTTCATCCATGTCGTACCCTGTTGTGATTTCAAAAATCATGAATTCATTACCCAAAAAGTTTGAATAAAAATCCTTTCATTAATTGATTTGTTCCTTCAAGCATATTTTTCTTGGAAAAAAAATCCAATCTCCAGATGGGATCCCCTCCCCCCCTCCCAAGAAAAACATGCTTGAAAAACAGAAATCAAATTTTTAATAACTATCCAAGCAGCAAATACATCTTAACACTTAAATCTTATTCCTTTTTAAATATCTTAATGGCCTTTTTTGATTGTCTTTAATTGCCCTTTAGAGTCATATTTTTATGCAGTAGTAATTAATAAAGATATATTATAGAAAATATAGTTTTACAAAATTCTTATGTAATACAGAGCCTGAGGGCTAAGTTAACTGGAAAGTTTTCTAGTTAACCCCCAGTCTTTTTGTTTCTAAATCATAGCAGGTCAAGAAAGTAGTGGATTTGGTGAGAATATTCATGCCTAAACTTTTTTGGTTGCCCCTAAAACTCTGGTACTCATTTGGAGTTTTAAAACACAGAGGACTAAAAGTCTACCATTTGTAATGTGTTACCCTCTCCTAAAAAATTACTTTACCTGTTTAACTCTTTAGTGTCTCTCTTTTTTAAGCTAGGATCCAATCCATAAAAATATAACCAAAGACTAATTACGAAGGTGATCAAAAAAGTAAATATAGTGCMTATTTATAGTATCCTACAAAAAAGTACCAAGTGGAAAATATTACTAAGTTATATTGTACTTATAATGTTTGCATTCTAGAATGTACCTATAAATTTATTTCGAATTAGGAGGAATGCAAACTATATCTTCCAAGGTAAGAGAGAACTTCACCATACTATCATCATTTTCGTTCTYTAAATCTAAAAGCTCTTGCTTCAAAAGTTCATCCTTTTCAGATAACTCTTGAATTACTCTAGCTACAGCTGATTGTTCATGGATGGTAGTCTCTCTACTGTGATGCTTTTTCTTTAGTTGTAGATTTGGGATAATTAACATAAGTGGGCCTTGTAAAGAAGTAAGCTGTGTTGTAAATGTAGTAAGTGATTTTGTCCTCAAAGCTGTAAAATTAGTGTTTTCATTGATATCATTTTCTATGGTATTCAATTCAGCAAGAACTTCTTGGTCCAGACAAGAAAGCACGTCAAGAAACTCTTCATGCATTTCCTTGGATTCCTCAACAGCATTTTTATATCTTTTCCATTTTGTTGAGACATCCATATATAAATTTTCCTGCTTCTGCAAAAGCCTTGAAAATTCTACTTGCTGGGTTTTAATACCCTGTATATCTTTGCTAGGCTTGTAGTCTACATTACTAACCATCCAGGATTCTTGGATTTCATCCTCTTCTGAGTCTTCATTCCTCCTTAATTTTGCATCAAGGGTACTTTCCATCCATTTCCAAAATGATGACTCCTTGTCCATTAGAAAGATTAAACTTTTTAAATAAACGTTTTCATGTTCAAGTCTTTCTTGATGTCTAATTAATTCTTTTTCATGGTACAAAAGATAGACATCAATGGCTGACAGATGGCTACTTGAAGATGGGGACTTTTGAGGAAATGGAAGAGTCGCTTTATGAATCCTATTTAAAACACAAGAATATTCATTTTTTGCTGCCAAAAGACTTCTAAATGCTGCATTTATTTTTCCCTTTATTAATATAATTTCTTCAATTAGACGAAGTAGCCTTTCGTTTTCATTGGTAACTCTAGAATGGCTTGTCGAAAAAAGTGCATTTTCTGTGAGTGATACTCCAGCGCAACATGACTTCTTAAAAGGCAAATCTTCAGATATTATCCTCTTTACTCGAGTAGCAAATTTCTTTATGAGGTTTTCTTTAGCCATTAACCATCCAATGGCAAGCAATATTTCTCGACTACCGTTTAATTTTTCCATGTTCTCTGGAAGTGCAAAAAATGACCTCACTCTGTAACCTATAGAAAACATTCCATGCTTACAATAGCGTACCAACCCCGGCAATTCCTCTGAAATATTTCCATGTTCTCTATTAAAATCCACTGTTATACCATCTTTCGTCATTTCAAGCCAAAGAATTAAATTCTTCAAAGTGAACCACATAGGTTTTGTTGTGTCTTGGTTGTCAAACTTCGCCTGGCGGAAAGTCTCAGCAGTTATTTCTGCTATGCCATTGTATTTGAGCACAACACAGAGACTCTCTATCGTTTCACGTATTTGTGTCATTTGGAGCCTTACAGATAAAAATCCATACACTCTTATAAATTTCTTTCACGAAGATAAAACCCACAACTTTTTGAAATTTCCGCCATCTTGGAATTTGAAGACTCTCTAAGGCTCTTGGGAAGGGATCGTCTTTATGTTGAGCTTGTCTTTACTACTAAAATGAGTCCCAAATCAGCTGTTTTATTTTATCTTTCAAGACTTATATTTCTTAACTTTTAATAGCACTAAACAATAACCTGATTTAACTTCTTTAGTAATTTTAGCAACAATTTTATTTTGGTCATTTGGGCGAAAGGAAAAGTGAAGTTCCCAAGAAGGTTCTAAAGTAGTCATACGAGCTCCAGCTCAGTAAGCCCTTTGGAACATTATCTTGGTTACTTCCGAAGGTCCCTTGACCCTCGAAGCGAAAAATTCTAATGAGTTTAGTGTTTGCGTTCAACGGTTGGCGGTTTTTTATGAATTTCATTTATAATTTATAGCCATGATACAGGTGTTTTTACTATATGAACATCGTTCATAATGAATCCCCAATGGACATGAAAAAGGCAATTACAAGGGGTTATTTATAAAATACAAAAAAACCCGACTAKACTCAGCTGAAGAAGAGTTTGACAACTGAACGAACATTTTCAAAGTTGTAGTTTTACAATCATTCCTGGACTGAAATTTTTAGTTTCTACCTCTTTAAAAATACGTTTCAAGTGCTCGAAAGTTTGAAAATGGCAGGACATCGTTACAGTGAGCGAAGCCCACCAGAGTCAGTCAGTTTGATCGAGAAACAGGATGCCAAACTGGACCGATTTTTGGAAGAGATGAAACCRTACGTTCTACGTCTACCGCACAAGTTAGGTAAAGTTTGTAGAATAGTTTTAGACAAAACAGTGGCTTAAACGCATATTTAAGGGCCTAAAAGATTTACTTGCAAACTTATTTATTTATTTATCTTAATTGTTGTGGCTACATTTAGCAGTTTTATGTGAGAAAGCTACCTCAAATTTATTTTATTGAACCACTGCCAAATTTTGTTTTGATAGTTTTTGAGGTTCTTGCTCCATTTCCATGGTTTCGGTGGAGTAAAACTTAATTATAACTTGCAATTTTTGACATAAGAATATTATAAATATTTGATCAAGGTAAGATTATCACTCATGTCAAACAAAAAAACAAAAATGACATTTAAAAATATAACGAAAATAGATATTTTTTGAGCTATGGATTTAAATAGCAACTTTTCAGGTCCATAAAATTATTCCAGTTTTAATAAGCTTTGTCTAATAATACTGATATTGTTTGCTGTAACCACYGTAACTGTACTATTAATGGTTTTAAGATTTTTTTTTACTTTTGCTTTGTTTTTACAYATTCTGCAAACTCTGTAGTTACAAGCTGCACWATGAAATTTGATTTTTTGCTGCCGTCAATCAAAAATAAACAGTTGTTTATTACTGTTATGAGTAGATCTTGTAAGAATATATGTTGCCAAATTGGCCAAGATCAAAATGCAACTTAAAATTTATGCAAATGAACACAATTTTGTATCAAATTTACAACACTCTTCTTGGTCGTGATTTCTGTTGTGTTTTCCTCATGAATTATTAATGACTTTGACAAGAGTAATTAACGCCTTGATACATCTTTTACACAATTATGCTATAAAACTGCATGTTTATTGTTACTATCTTGATAATAGAGAGACAAAGAGTTGGATTATGGATCAAGAAGTTATGTGAACCACCTGGTTCTGCTCCATCGTCAAGGTTGGTACATTGCAATGCATAATATTGTTTGCAAAGAATGAAATAATATGAAAACTATTGATCACCTTGTCTCAAGCTCAAAGGAAAAGATATTTAGAGTCCCCGATAGGAAAGCTATTTTTTCTGAGTTTCTTTCAAGTAGAGACAAAATGACCAATAATTTCCATACTACTTTCCTAGCTTATGAATAAATTCATAAGTGAAATAATAATTCAGAAAGTTTAACTATATTACAAATTTGTATATGTAATAGGACTCCATGCTGTCCAATTAAGAAATAATTGGACGAGGAAAATTCCGAGGACTGACAAAATTGGATGAGGCCATAGGCCCAGTCCAATTTGGCAGTCAGAGGAATTTTTCGAGTCTAATTATTTCTTGATTGGGGAGCATGAAATCCCATTACCTGTTAATTATATAGCTGCCTAATTAATCTCATATCAACAAGACCTGTCCAATTAAGAAAATAATTGGACAGTTACCTATATGGGATGAATGAGAAGCTGTATAATTAAAATAATAATATTCTTTGCAAAGAATATAATAATACTTCAGGGTGATAGGCTTTTGAATAAAATTTGTTATAAAACTTCTTGAAAAGTAGATTTTGAATTGAATGATAAGTAAAATAATATTACCCGTACATTTTGAATATGAAATTATAATTATATGATACATTGATAATTTATTGGCTTTGTTATTCAAAAGCAGTATTTTCACAATTATTTTATTAGTTTACTTTCATTAATGTTATTATTGAACTTGCAGAAAAAACAGGAACTTGTATGCACAGTTATTGTTACATATGTTAAAGCGAGGCTTACTAGAGGATCCATTTACAAGAAGACCTGATGCTGGTCCACTACAACCCTTGCCTTCATACATGGTAATCAATGATGATGATGATGATAATGATGATGATGTTGATGTYGATTAGGATGATGAATGATGAAGATGAATATAAAATGCTATATATTGAAGATGAATATAAAGGATTAAGGGTTTAAATGCATTCTTCTTTCTTATGAATGGTATCATTTTGGGATAAAGTATACTAAGCTGGTGAACACATTTCTCTTTCAGTCTATTTATTTAGATGAGCCGATATCAAAAAGAATTCTAAGCCATGGATCTGATGAAGTAAGAAAAATAATGATTATCATAATGATGTTGCTATGTTAGTGACTTGCACTTGCAGGTCACAGACCCCACCTCCTTAAAACAAACAGTTGTGTCAAAATGAACATCTSAAATGAAAAGAGCACCTCGAAATTAGTAAGAGGACTGAGTTTCAGCTCATAATGTTGACTACAGGAGAAATGACATTTAAAATTAAATCAAATATTTTATGAGAATTTGTATGGGGACTTTTTTAATATCTTGCCAGCCAGCACATTTCCTCATACAAATCCTTAAAAAACATTCAATTTTATTATGAATGCCATTTCTCCTTTTTGGTTGTTATAAGCTGAAACTCTTGCTCCCTGCTAAGGTCAAKTTGCTTTTTTCATTTCTGATGTTCATTTTGACATAACTGTTTGTTTTAAGGGAGGTAGGGTCACATGACCTAGCTGTTAGTGCAAGTTGTCCATTATCACTATTATTGTATTGCAGCTAGCCATGTTGAATTCTTGAATTAGGTTGCAAACTTCATGACAATAATGCTATATCATGCATTCTCACTGATTTATAGGAAATGCTGAAGCATTTATTGACTTCTTTATTCTCTTTGTCCAGGAATACGGCAGAGATACACCG